TGCAGCACCCACAGCAGCTGGCTGCACCCCCCTGCTCTGGACTCCAGCCCAGCGCACCCCCCTGCTCGCCTGGTGCCCCTCAAACCCACCCCGCAGCCCCCTGCTAGTCTAGTGCACCCCTCCCCTTCAAGCCCCCCAGCCAAGGCAGCAGCTGGGCCTCTGTGGGGCCTGTTAGGTACTTAGCTAATCCCTGCTTGTTCCAGGCTTTAGCGCCACTGCTGATGCCTGACTCAGGCAATAGCTGGGGGGAGGCGGCCTGAGGCCAAGTCTGCACTGGCACTTTACAGCACTGCAATTTTCTGGCTCGGGTGTGAAAAGACACACACAGAGACACACCCGAGCACAGGAACAGCCGGCGTGAACAGGCTCCAGCGCAGTTAGCATTCATTCACACACACACACACACACACACACCTGAGCGCAGGTACAGCTGGTGTGAACAGGCTCAGTTAGCATTCACACACACACACACACACCTGAGCGCAGGTACAGCTGCTGTGAACAGGCTCCAGCGCAGTTAGCATTCACACACATGCACACCTCGTGCAGTTAGCCTTCCCTTCGTGGAGGCGGTTACCGAGGGCGCTGGGAGAGTTCTCTGTCACGGCTCCTTTAAACTCTTAAGCCTCAGTGAGGTGTGACTGGGAATTTCTAAAACCCAAGCACTGTCCTGGCCAAGGCCGCCAGCCCAGGAGCAGGCCAGCGAGAGACCCGGCCTGCGCACCTGTGAGCCCTGGGGCAGGGCTGAGCTCCCGGGATGGGGGGGAAGGTTGGTTCGGTGCCCAGGACTTGGTGGAGCTGGCAGGCTGAGGTGCTGTTGCTCAGGGTAGCAGCTGAGCCCATCTGGGCAGGTCGAGACGAGGTTCTGTCACGTTGTGGTTGGGCCACAGGGTCCCCAGTCGGCTGGGCCCTTGTGCTGATGAGCAGAACACCCGCAGCTGGGGTTGTTGCTACGGGCTTATGGGGTGGGTGTGGCTAGTCAGCCGGTGCAGCGCTCCTTCCTCGGGTCAGTGCCCGGCACTTCCAGCCCTGCGACAGGCGAGGGTGGGTTGTCAGTGAGGAGCCCAGCGCTGAGCTGCAGTTAAAATCCACTGGGGTGGGCGGGCGCGTGGCCGCGCCGGGGGAAGGGGACATGCGTCGCCAGCAAGCAAGAGCTGCCGCCAAGTCCCAGTCCCTCCTCCCCGAGCAGGCAGCGAGTACGGTGCGAAGCCAGAGAACAAGGGCTCCACTGTGTCTGCCGCGCTGCCGGGGAGACCGGCCCCAGCCGAGCCAGCAACACCTCAGCAACCAGCGGTCACCTCCCTTCGTCTCGGGGCCACATGCAGCCCTGCTGGAAGCAGAAACAGGCCCAGGCCCAGGGAGTTCATTGGGAGCTGGGCCCGCTGGCACCACAGCTGAATTTGGCCCATTGTCTGTGCTTGGACTCTTCCCCCATGGCACCCTGCCACGCTCAGCACCAGCCCTGTGTTACCCGGCTGCTTTCCAAGGGCCCGGCTCCTAAAGCAAACAGCCCGTCCCCACCCTGTGGGCCAGGTGCCCTGCGCACACGCTGCCTCAGGGCAGGTCGGGCGGTAAGTCAGGGGCTCTCCACGCACACTTGCCACAGAGGCTGCTCCTCCAACGGCCCTGGGCCAGCCGTGGCAGGGAGGGAGGCAGCAGGTGCCGGGTGAGCACATGCCTGGAGGAGATAAAGGGCTGAGCCCCATGTCACTCCCTGGAGACAATAGCCAATGCAGACCCAGCTCCAGCCAGATGGGGCCTGTGTTAGAATCCCAGGGCTGGAAGAGACCTCAGGAGGCAATCAGGTCCAGCCCCCTGCCCAAGGCAGGACCCCTCCCAATCTGAGGGGCTATGGGTGCTGCAGAGCCCAGGGGTGCCCCACTGGCACCCTCCCAAGAGGATGTATCCCCAGTCTGCTCTGGCTGCCACGACCGTGCTGCTGCTGGCCACTGAGCATGGATGGCGCTG